CCCCCCCCCACCGCCCCCCCCCCCCCCCCCCCCCCCCCCCCAGCGCTCCCCCCCCCCCCCCCCCCCCCCCCCCCCGCCAGCCCATGTGCACCGCCGACACCACCTTTCCAGCCCGCGCCCAGTACCGGCACCTTTCACCTGGCCCCCCGGTGAAAAAGGTTGAGGACCCCTGGTCTAGAGAGTGGAGCTTCACTAGAAAGTTTTTAGGGAGGAAGAAAATAGAGCCAAGAATTCAGTACTCCAGCCAGAAAAGACTAGTTTTTAGAGGGAAGGCAAAAGCATATTGTGGTTTGTTGTTATGTGCCGTCAACATCTCCAATTTATGGTGACCCTGTGAATGAATGAATGCCCTCCCAAATGTCTTGTCCTTGACAGCCCTTCTCAGTTCTTACAAATTCAAGGGCAGGGCTTCCTTTATCAAATCAATCCATCTCATATTTAGTCTTCTTCAGCCTTCAACTTTTCCTAGCATTTTTGTCTTCTCCAGGGAGTCTCGCCTCCTTATGATTTGCCCAAAGTATTACATTTTTTCAGCTTTGTCAGTTTTGCTTGCAGGAAAGTTCTAGCTTGATTTGATCTGGGACCTACTGGTTTGTCTTTCTAAGGCAAAAGCAGTATCAGTTTTATTATAAGAGCCAGTGTGGTACAGGTGTCATGGTAAAGAGCATGGGACTGGGACTCAGGCGATCTGGGTTCTAGTCCCCGCTCAGCCATGGAGCCAACTGAGTGACTTTGGGCCAGTCACAGACTCTCAGCCCAGCTTATTTCACAGAGTTCTTGTTGCAGGGATAAGATGGAGAGAGTTGGAAGAGGAGAATGGTGTAATCCCTTTGAGTTCTTTAAAAGAAAAGATGCAGAATATGCATCTCATAAACAAATATATGCAAGAGCTGGGAAGCTCTCACAAGTAGGAGGGGAGAGGAAACGAACTGAAGGCTGAGGGAGGAAGGGGAAGAGAGTTGCTTGTGAACCATCCTGTGCTGTGAGATAGTGGGAGAGAATCCATCACAGGAATTTAAATCCTGCGATGGGCAGATCCGATGCCCTTAGGCCATAGCTGGGTATCTGGTGGGCATGTACATACACACAGTTTCACAAATCTTCCAGAGACAGCAGAGCTGTTTTCAAACGCTTACCAAGCACACAGTTTGCCTAAAGCAGTTACAAAGACAAAATGCCAGGGTATCTAGTGAAAATGATGTGTCCCCCCCACAACCTGGGAAACAAAAGGACAGAGAAGCCAGGACTACCAACCAGTATGTGGGAAAGCAACAAGAATGCCCATGGCCTTTAGTTAAGTGCCAGCATGTTGGCTTGATTACATTATGGCAGGAATGGGAAAATCCTGTGGGGTATGGGGCAAATAACCCCTCCCACACACATACACACATCCGGCTCTTTATTGGACAGGTGACATCAGAGGTCAAGCCCAGGCCCTGATCCTGAAGGAATGCAAAGAGCTCTGCAAGCTGGAAGGGAAAACTCTGCAAGCCAGATTAAGCCCACGAGCTGAAAGTAGGAAAGCCTGGCTAAGCATATTGCAGAGCAACATGGCTTGGAGAATTCAAGTGTTAGGATACCTTTCTCTCAATATTCACTGATGCCCCTGCAAACAGAATGGAGTACAGGGACAAAACGAGCCTGCTATGGCAATGATGCTTCCAACCAACCAAGACATATGTACACACAGGTACATGTTTGCCTAGCTGCTAAATTAGCACAATTTGTTCTTCACAGAATTTGAGTCTTTTGGGTACAAGATAATGTTGATTGCAAAATTTACAACTGTGCCAAATGCCTTGTGCAGAAGAGTCAGTATTGTGATTGTCCACAGCCCAAAAAGTATAATGACTGATTAGCTACAAATCTGAAGCCAAAGAAGATTCAATGTGTATTCTCCCTCCTGGTTGGACATACTTTAAGCTATTTAATATATATAAAAACCAATTTAAACTATTCTACAAATTTCCAAGGAAAAGATTCAAGCAAATGTTTAACTTCCCCACTGAAAGAAATTTTGCGGGTGGGATAGAAATCTTACATAAATAAATAAACTGGTTGAGTTATGCCCAGAATTTTATAATTTGCACACACATTAATGCAGAGTTTTTCCCCAGGAAATGACAAACTCTAGCTTATGCCTGGTTTTCCCTTTAAAATGTTAAAGTGGAGGTGGCGGAGGAGAACTGCTGCAAAGTTAATAAGTTTTCAAAATAAATCAAGATCAAACCGTATGAAACATTTCTACAGAAAATAGTCCAGATTTTACATGGTTTCAGGCACAAAGCCATTCTGTAGGTCAAACATGGAAGCTGTGTCAGGACTGACATTTTGGCTCTGGGCAACATTTTCTTATCTTTTTTCCAGGTTCACTGGCCTTCTTTAACTCTTGGATGCTGTTCAGAGCGAGACACAACAAAGCATGTTGCACGCAAAGCCTTTGGCTAAACTGGAACCACCAGATTGGTATCATTACCTGACAATGGTTCCCAGTGAGGCACAAGGTGTTTCTCTCCTGTTCCACCTGCACAGTGATTCAACCCTCTGCACAGCTGAAGCATGTGGTGGTTTCCTTATCATGTAACAGGAACACTTTGTAACAGGATCACTTAACCTGCAACAGGATGCAAAGCTTGGCAGGGTTCCTTTGCTTTCAATAGCTGTGTACATTCCAGAAGGGTCACTTGTCATGCCAGCCACACCCGCTGAAATTCCATCTTCAGCCCTGGCTTTACATCTCACTGATCTAATAAATATGCATTCTCCAACTTTTAATTTAAAATAGAAGGCATCCTTATACAATGCCAAGCTAGCAGTATCCTGTGTGTTTTTTAAAAAGTATGAAAGTAGCTTAAAATCTGGGAAAAACCAATAGGAGTCCCAGCATTAGCTTTTGAAAAATACCCAGGTTCAAGCTTGTTCAACAGACATCATATGAACATCTTTTACAACAGGGGAACAGAACCTTGGGATGGGGGCAAATCCAGTACTTTTATCCCAGTCTAACTCACTGGGGTTTCCCAGAAGACCATGCCCGCTTTGCTTAGTCACATTCCCTTTTCTCTGACCACTGACAGTTTGGTGGTTTCCTGACTTTTGTGAGATTTTCCTCCATTCTCCAAGGTCGAAATGCCTCTCCCAAGGCTTAGGAAGGAAGAGCTATAAGCTAAAATACGCTGGTGTTTTTGTTGTCGTCACACCACCACCACCACACACACACACAGAAACACATGCACTGTTTTTTCTAAGTTTATAGTTTGTTGCTTCAGTCCTATAACTATTTTGTGCATGTCGCCTTAAGCAATTTTATGGGAAGGGTGACTAATGAGCCCTACATAAAATGAATTAATTAAACATAGCCCCCTCTGTTATGGGTGGGTGGGAGACACTACTGAGGCTGAGAGATTGTATGAGTTTCTACAGCCACCCACTGAAATGCAAACCTGTAGAACAGAATTGGCTTTGAGGTTAAAAAAAAAAGTTCCTTAGCCATGTTCTTGGGCACCCCTCTACATTTTGGGACACTTACTAAAGATAAGAAATTTTCAATGGTGAAACAGATTGCTTTAGAAAGTAACTTTCCTTTACTAGAATATGTAAAAAGAGACTGGACAGCCAACTGTCAGGGATGTTGTAGCTACACCCTTCATTGCAGATTCTGTATGGAGAATGGGGTTGGACTAGATGACCCCTCCAACTTCCGCTCTAGAGAAGGGACTACAGGCTCTTGCAACATTATTATTAACATTCTATGCTCTTGCTTTTCAGGTACTGCAGGCAGAAAATAGGCCCCAAAGCCTTTTCAGTTCAAAAACTTCTCAGAACAAAACAAAAAAGATGTGATGTTTTTGTACTTCATTCATTGTATTTTATGTATTGAGCTACATCTTGCCTGACAAAACATAAGGTCTTGAAGGGATTGTATGTGGCTTTTCTACCTAATATACTTTTCAGAACGTGCAGATAATTCTAGCCTGCAATCATTTGCAGCAAGTGCCTTGCAAGGTAGCATGGTTAAGAATATGAGCCATAAGCAACTTAACTATGCAGTTGCTGGGTGGCTGCAGAAACTCACACTCTCTCTCAGCCTCAACGGTATCCTCCATACACCCATAACAGAAAGGCTATGTTTAATTATTTCATTTTATGTAGGGCTTATCAGTCAACTTTCCCATAAAATTGCTCAAGATGACATGCTCAAAATAGCTAAAGCACTGAAGCAACAAACTATAAACTTAGAAAAAACAGGTATTTGCAAATGAGGGGGTTGGACTGAGTTACCTGGTTGCAAATAACAGCAAGTGTAAGTGAAGTGCTATCAGTGGTGGTGCCACACACACCCAAATGTTGTTTCTAATGTTAATCTAACTGAAGTCCAATTAATTTCTGTGGATCTACTTTAAGCAGGGCTAACACTGGAATCAATTCTTAGACTTTCTGAACTTGAGATGTAAATGCCTTTGGGCCTCTTTTATGGTTTCTGTGGCATATAGGAAACTTTGCAAAAAAATCTAATGACTGTTTCTGCTCATGTAAAATTTGTATTTGTTTTACAAACTTATGAAAGGAAAACCCAAGTTTGGTCTTTTGCGGAAAAAGCATTAGGATTATTAATGTTGTAAAAAGCCCACTAGGTGGCATGCAGACATTTGACTATAGACTGCTTTAATACTCTCGGGCCTCAAGCGACCAGTCGGACAGGCTTCTTTTCTTAAAGCTTCTTGCAGACCGATCTTACGTCCTAGCAAATAAACTTTCCGTAGCAGCTTTCCCGGCGGGTTAAGGCTGGAGCATGCAACTGAGATGGATGGATCTGGGCCGGGAACTGGAGAAATCCTTATTTTTTCCTCATTACTGTGATCTGAAAAGGCAGAAAGTTCAAGATTTTGCTAGTTTCTTGCTGCTGTGTTCCAACATTCAGACCGCGCTAGGTTGGACGCTTCCCAGAAAATGCTTTAAAAACCACGGGTAAATCCCTACCACTATGCCCAGGTCAGAAAGCAAAAGATGGATCCAAAGGTAAAATCCCAGGGGCTGGGAGCCGCTTGCTTTTAGTTGTACTTTCATGGTGAATGTAATAAATAGCGATTAAATCTATATATCTGCTGAAGCAAGCCCAGGAAAGAGCTGCACTCTTTTTTATGACTGTCACCTAGTCTGAACTGTTAAGATGGGACCGTCCTTATGCAAGGCCAGCCTGCCCCGCACTTGATGCCTTTCCCACCGCCCGCCTGGAAAGGAGGCCCGATAATCTTTACCAAGATACCAGGGCATTTTAGTTAAAACCAAAACCGCGGGGAGAATCAAGAAGTGAAGGGAAATCCCAAGAGGAATGGTGAACTTTGCTCACGCCCGACCTCCGCCACCTGCACCACCAAAGGGGAAGGCGAAGAGGGGCCTGAACAAGTGGCAGGGAAAGGGGGAGCCGCCTTACTCAGAGCTGCAAAAAGTACTTTCCCTCACAGAAAAAGCCAAAAGTTTCCAGCGAGTGACTTGCAGAGGGAATTCCTCAGCCACAGCCTTTGCTCCGCTGGCGGCGCCCAAACAGGACCAGACTAGTTCAGCGCCTCGCTGTTTGACTTGGCTGGGAAATTCCCAGCCCATCAAGCTCCGCCCCCCGTAGAAATCCCCTCGGTCGGGGCTCTATAGGCTAGAGCGCCGCCGCGGCTCGCCCGCAGTTCACACGGCTACGCAGCTCAGAGCAAGTCGAGCGACGCGCTGCTTTCCCTTGGGATCTATCTGCCTGTCGCTCGCTGTCAGAAGCGCGCCCTCGGCCAGGCTATGCTTAGCCCCAGCACCCTGGATTATACGATGGATTTCACGATGGAGCAGCAGGCCCACCCCAGGGACGCGCTGAAGAAGGACAGGCAGCTCAGCCTGGTCCAGGACGATCGCCACGACAGTGGCCTGGACTCCATGAAGGACGAGGAGTACGAAAACCTGGTCAAGGAGCTGGAAGATATTCGTCTCCATCCCACGGAAGCTTCCGTGGGAACCCACAGTGGCGCCAGCCAGCCGGGCCAGGCTTGGAAACAGCAAGTGACTGAAGATGGAGACACGTAAGTCGGCAGGACTTTGCAGAGGGCATTTTCCCCCTCCTTTCTTCTTTTGTGGCGGTGGGGGGGGGGGGTTGAGTTGGAACTGCTCACTTTCTAAAGTTACTAGTCCTATAGAGAATGCCATCGTTTCCTTGGAAGTGAATACCACGGATGTCTCCGTCCTATCTGTAAGGCAAAGCGGTCCGTCCTCCTACTATGTTTGCTGGAAATTAAATCCAACTGAAGGGAAGGGGGCACATTGCCAAGCATACGTGCTTCGGACCGGGTTGTGCTTGTGATAAGGACGGCTGCTCCTCGGGATTCCTAAGCTGTGTGCATTTTTGCACACAGTCTATGATAAACTGAACTGATGAAAAAAAGAAACATTACGTTTGTATTTGAAAGAGTTTTAAACATTTAATATTAACTGAATTGCGTCGGCTGCATTGGACTTGCATAAAGGAATCGTAAAAGGAGAGTCATGCATTTTAAAGGGGGGGTTAAAGGTCAGGGTGGGGCGATGGAAATTGCACTCTGACACATCTGGAGGGCCCAGCTTGAGGAAGGCTGCTGCAGGCTTTCCAGCGTGTGCTTAAAAATCCTGCACCAGGTTCCCTAAATAGCCGCGTTGGTGCGATGCAGTAGCCTCGAGGCTCTCTGCTCTCGTTCTGCAGGAATGGAGGGAGGGACATGTTTGATGTCGGTCCTTTTCGACAAACTACATAAAAGTACGGGGAATTTTTGTGCCTGAGTTTTCCCCGGCCCGCCGGCCCGCCCTCCAGCCCCCGCCCTCCCTTGGCTCTGCCGCGACTGGGCGGGGCTTGAGCGCGGCGCCGGCGGGGCGGGGCGCGAGGGAGGGAGGGGGAAGTGCGCTGGAAAGCCCCTGGCGCGGTGCCCGGAACATTCAGCTCTGCGCAGCACCGCGGAAAACACCCGGCGGTAACAGCACGCGGCTTTGAAAAACCCAGGCTTTCGAAATCGCCTCTCCTGCTGATACTGATGTTCTTCCTCCATGACTCCAGAGGGCACGTTGCCCACGGGGCGAGGAGCGAGAAAGCTGATCTCAGGGCTTTTGGGATTTTTTGCTCATCACCGGGTTTTTCCCACTGCTTTCCTGTTGCAGATTTCTCCATCTGGCCATAATACACGAAGAAAAACTCTTGAGTTTGGAAATCATTCGCCAAGAAGGGCATGACACAGCCTTCTTGAATTTCCAGAATAACCTCAGCCAGGTAATTAGTTATCTTTTTTTGCCCCTGCATACCCTCCCCATCCTCACCCCCACAAACGGAACCTGGAGACATTGAAACATGGTGCCAAAGGAAAACACAGAAACTTTCTAAAATAAACTTTTAAATCTATGTAATAATAAGTACAGGAATAAATTACAAGAGAGTATAAGTGGCTCCCTGCACAGTATTGCCCCTTGGCATAGTGATGCCAATCAGAGTGCCACAAAATTAGTGTCTTGTTAGAGATCGGTCCTATCTACCAGCAACCTTGGCTGACTTCTAAAAAAAATATTTTGGTTTAGCATAACTTTGTCAGACAAAACTAGGCTATACACAAGAGGAGACTCAGAGGGTATTTCCAAAATACCACTAAGAGCACAATCTTATACAGGCTTAAAAGAAGGCCTATTCCCAGCACCCCCAGCAGCCATACTGGGAATTGTAGTCCTTTTGCCTAAACCTGCATAGGACTGCACTCCCAAGACTAACTGAACACTGTGCTTGGCATCCTAACATGGGAACACTATAACTTCTGATCCATTTGCTCATGGCAAAGTGTACTCAGTCACAAGATCTTCAAGTTGATTGCTGTGCTGTGCACTCAGATTTATCTAATGCTATTTTGCTTCTCTTTGAAGCATACTAAAAATACTTTCTCACTTTCCATTTACAGACTCCACTTCACTTGGCAGTGATCACAGACCAACCAGAAATTGCTGAGATGCTTCTGAAAGCCGGATGTGATGCAGAGATACGAGATTTCCGGGGAAACACACCACTGCATATTGCTTGTGAACAAGGTTCGCTCACAGGTGTCAGTGTCCTCACACAGTACTGCCAGAAACACCAAGTCCACTCTTTGCTACAGGCAGCAAACTACAATGGTGAGCACAAACACTGACTTTGTAACAACACACCTTGGGAAGGATTTAGCCAGCGGCAGAGCACCTGCTTTACATGCACAAGGTGCCCAGTTCAAGCCCCAGCATCATCAGAGAGGGCTAGGAAGCCCTGAAAGCTTGCAGAGCTGCTGCCAGTCAGTATTCATAATATAGGGCTGGTTAGACCCAAAGTTGGTTCAGTCTAGACTAGCTTCCTGTGTTCCTAGCCCCTAAAAGTGATGGGGTGCTCCAGCCCTTGGCATCGCACTGTTATTGTCTGCTTCAGAGCATGTGTGTGTTTGCTTGCTTGCTGTAAGGGCATAACCCTTTGCCTGCTTAAACAGAAAAAAATGGGAGCTATGCAACTTTTTCCTGTCTAAACATGCACTGGATTGCACCATATTAGCTAAATAAGGAGTTTCGAGGGAGTTTTCCGTGTCTGTTATAGTCACAGAGCATGTTTTATTCTCTTTAAGAAAGAGTAGTCAAAAAGCAACTCACATACTGCTGAGATCATCAAGCTCTATTAAGCTCTATAACTTCCTGCTAATGTCTGTAGGAAGCTATAAAGCACATGAGCTGAAAATAGAGGCCCCTTTGTTGAAATGAGTTGACATTACATGGAATGCAATGTACTTAATTGTTGACCTCTGCGTTTGCTTTCTAGGACACACATGTCTCCACTTGGCATCCATTCAGGGATATCTGGCCATTGTAGAATGTCTCCTCTCTCTGGGTGCAGATGTCAATGCACAGGTAGGTGCTGGTAGCTGCAAAAACAAAACAAAAACTGATCACATACTTTAAGAAGAAACATTTTAATGTTTGCCAATGCTAATAAGCATATTTCTTTTATTTATCATGAAACAGGAGCCATGCAATGGTAGGACTGCCTTGCATTTAGCTGTAGACCTGCAGAACCAAGAACTGGTATCGCTCCTGCTGAAGCACAAAGCAGATGTAAACAAAGTGACATACCAAGGCTATTCTCCATACCAGCTCACATGGGGAAGAAGTAACTCCTCCATACAGGAGCAACTGAGGCAGTTTACCACATTGGATCTGCAGATGCTGCCTGAAAGTGAAGATGAAGAGAGCTGCGAATCAGAATCAGAATTCACAGAAGATGAAGTAAGTACTTGGCTATTCCTTCTATATTAGAAGAGCCAATATTCTACCATAACTTGTGCACAGATTTCCCATGGAGTGCTAGGAAGTAAGTGTAGAAACTTCAGGCTACCAGACAGCTTTCTTTGCCTTTGTTTTGAAGCTATGTACAGATTAACTCTGAAGTATTATCAGTCACTTACAGACCTAATTACTGGATCTGTAGGGAATTCACTGATTGATCTACCTGGAGTGAGCAAACCCTAGTGCTGATTTTGAAAAGAGAAAGCATGGCTAGACTGATTATTTTAGATGTTTCTGATTAGGATATCTTCTGTTTGCTTAAAAGAAAGGATGAGCTCAGCCTTGGAATCTCTCGGCACATATAAAGTAATAACAAAGATTACCTTTGAGCATGGGCAGAGTACTTTTCCCAACCACTGGTTTCTCACTACCAGTCCTTGAATTTAGAGGTAAAGGCTCAGGCACAGCTCCCAGGAAGGCTTGAGACACTCCAGCGGTTCGCATTTAGAAACTGAGCACTGGTGTTAAGTACCAGATGCTAATTTTCTTTTGTAAATGCAGCTGTAGTTAGTGGGATGTTTCCTTTGAGAACTAAAAATGCCTAGTGTTTCCTTAGATAATACATTATGCCTTCTGTTAAAGCCTTCTATTAACCTGACCAATTTTTCTCTCCTCTGTCTAGCTTCTATATGATGACTGCATTATTGGTGGCCGGCACGTGCCTTGTTAAAGGAGGAGGGCTGCAGAAAGAACAAGCCAACATAATGTGAACAATTACTGAACTACTCCATTGTGCTGCACAGAACATGTTGTTATAACAACTAGTGTGGTACATGGTTCAATACACTGTTTGAGCATCAGTGAATTTTGGTTGTCAGACGCCAGAAGAAGTCTGGGCCCCATTTGTGCCAGAGAGCTGATCATCCAAATAAAGGAGCAGAATGAGAATTTGGAGGGTCCACGTCTGTATTCACTGTGTGCCCTATGAGGGGGCTGGCCAGACTCACCATCTGTGGTGTCCTTCTGGAAGACATTCCACATAGTTCTACCTGACTGCTAATAATCTATTCCAGAGACTGAGCTCAGGTGTTCTTTGTGCTACACAGCAGACAGTCCCAAATAATGACTGCTTGATGTCCACATGCAAGAAGGATAGCAGTAATTTTCAGACTGTATATTGCAAGCCCTTGTATCATGTATATATTGTACATTTTGTGAATATGTTTTGTTACTGGTGAGATGTATATTTATTAAAAAATAACAAATACACTGGATTGGTGAAACTGTTCTTGCTGAAGAATTACCTTGCTCACTGATGTTCCATTAGCTGAACTCAAGTGTTTTAAGATACTCCAAGTTTATTCCAGGATACATTTTCCTGAAAAAGAGCAACTGGTCTCCCTTATTCTTCATCTCTTCAGACCTTCGAAATCAAGCTAACACCTATCCTATAAATGGCAAATCCCAATAGTTTCTTTGAGAAAGATTAAAGCAGGTGCTTAATTCACATTAATATTTCTGAGACTTCCAAACCCTTAAGTTTCCCTAAACTGGAAGAAAATAAATTCTATATAAATAACAGTGAGCCATGGTAGAGTCATAGAGTTAGAAGAGGACATCTAGTCCAGCCCCCTCTTTGCTTACTTATTTGCTATATTTATATAGTTGCCACATAACAGGCCCACTGGGACAAAACAGAAGCGGTGTTGGACTACAGTGGGTCTGATCCCACTTTCAGCTAGTAGGAACATTCCCTGAGCAGTTCTGGTTGGAACTCTGCTACTGTGGAGAGGAAAAGAAGTGGAAGTCTTTCTTGGTCCCCATCGTCTCTTCCCAAGGGCTCCAGAAAATCACACAATCTTCTAATGTAAATTCAGAAGGAAGGATCAACGACAGCTGCTTCCATTCCCACCAGTGAGATTCCTCCACTGTGTCTGACGCCTGCCGTGAGTGCCCTTCCCTGTCTGGGAGAGAGTTGGTTCCAACTTGCTATAAAGATTCAAAGGCAAAACACTTGATTTTTAAAACATGACTGGCATCTACAATGTTTAAAGGCCCATGTATATAAAATATATCTTGTGCCAAAAAGACCAGAAGGATGGTTCCATGCAAACATCTCTTGCACAAGAGTTCCTCAGTTGGGGTACCATTACCAATAAGAGCCTCTTACCAGTAGGAGCCTCTTCTGGTAACAACCCCAGTCCAGGGACTAATCCAGCCACCTTGGAGGCATAATCTGGGTCTTCCCAGATGGCCACAGCTACTTCCTCTGGCCCCACCTTATTCCTCCCCACCATTTTGTGGTTATTTATTTATGCTGCTTTACCTCCATTCTAAACAGTGAAGTACTTCACCTAAGACTTGGATCTTAGCAGTAAGAGCTATAAGCTAAAATATGTCGGCGGGGGCAGTTGGCACCACCTCTTTGCCTTCAGTCCTGTTCATCACTAGAAGGCAGCCCATGAGAGGTCTGTAAAATTGAATTTGGCCCTCAGGCTGAGTTTTAACACCTTTGCTCTTGAGGTCATCCATCTCTTATTAGGTGCAGCATTTGTAGCATGGCCTCTGCAGATCTACATTAATGTTCTGGTATATATAAGAGCCTTTCAAGTAATGCAAGGTGCTCCTGTAGTATTGTTTTCAGACCATCCAGTTGCTGATCAGCTCCAGTGAAGGGAAGCCCACCACAGCTCAAGGTAGGCTGCTCAACAATTCTCACTATTAGGACATTTCTCCTAGGCAGCATCTGCTGCGCTCCCACAAAAGCTATTGCACTGGTAGGACCCAGCATAGTCCAAGGGGCCTGTCATGAGGGAACTCTAGCAGAGAGCAGATAGGGTCATTCTTGTATCAAAGCAGGTCCACGGAACCCTCTTCTGTGAGCATTGTGGACCTGCCCTGCTCTTTGTTTCTGGTTGCTTTAAGAACTTGTAACCCTGGTTGTCCTGGGAAAGATTTCTGCTGATCCACTGGCAGAACACAACACTTCCCTTATTTTACTCAGATTCTGCTTCCCCACAAATGCCATTCTTAGGTGCTAGTCTTGCTTCTAGCACTGGACTGGAAAACCTGTGGTCCTGTGGATGTTTTGTCCTATAACTCCCATGAGTGGTTGCCACTGCAACCTCAGGAAGCATTGTGCGTCATATACCCTAATCTCCTAGGGCCAGATGGACCACGGCATCATCATTAGATCTAACATGATGGTTTCAATTTGAAGAAATGGCCTTCATGGATTATTTGCAGCCAAGACCTCCAAACCATAGCTTGGCAGCTGTATCTGGAAGAATAAGAGCAAGATCTGTAACCAAGGGAACCAAGGTTCAATTTAGATACTAGGAAGTACTTCCTAACAGGACTCTGAGGGTATGAAATGGGCTTCCATGGGAGGTGGTTGAGGCCCCATCGGTGAGGATGTTCAAGGATAGGCATGTCGTGAGTGAAGCCACCTGGCGCCAGGGGTCAGACTAGATGGCCTGGAGACCCCTTCTGACTCTCTCTGTTTCTATGTTTCTAAGCCATAGCTTGGCAGCTGCATCTGGAAGAATAACAGCAAGATCTGTAGACCTGCATGCAACTGAATGCACCCAGCCAATGAGAGGGCATAACTCAGTCAAGAGATGCACATGGGAGCAATTAGTCACCCTTTATAGTTTTTGGAGTATTTTCCATTGAAATATCAAGATCTAAGCTGATGGTTTCATGTGTTCTCAGTTTTCTGAGCTTTAATTTTAATTATGTGCAGATCATTCTTTATGATTTTTAACACTTTGTTTACTTCAGTGAAGAATCTTTTCAACAAAGATAGATCGATAGAGTGCTTTTTTGTAAGAAAAATGGTGCTGGAACTCATGAAATTATTTATCTTTCGCATGTAGTCAATCACTGTACACACACCCACACACGTCAGTTGTGTAACGGAACATAACGGTTGCCGCCCGCAGTAAGCACTCAGTGTGTGACCACACAACCAATCACAAGCTGAGCAGTGCCACAAGCCGAGCAGCGCCATCACAACCAGCACAGACGAAGTACGCATGCATCGGATTCGACACACAAGCAGCCCGCATGCACCATTTTAATAATTTTGCCGCCAACTTGCTACGCTCGACAGAGCGATTCAAATCCACGTGGACCTAACATCAAATTTTCAAGTTACTTTTATTTTATATTGATTGATTGATTGAGTTATCTCCTGCCTTTTTCCTACAAAGGGCTCAAGGCAGCTTACATCATTCTCCTCCTCCATCTTATCCCCACCACAACAACCCTGTGAGGTTGGTTGGGCTGAGAGGCTGTGACTGGCCCAAAGTCACCCAGTTGGCTCCATGGCTGAGCAGGAACTAGAACCCAGATCGTCTGAGTCCCAGTCCCATGCTCTTAACCACTACACCACACTGGCTTTTAAAACTTGGAAAATCTGTTGAAAAAAGGTGCCGGAACTCCGTTCTGGTGCGTTCTATGACAAAAAAAGCACTGGATGGATGGATGGAAATAAACAATAATATATTATTTAAAAACAGTATTGTTTTTAAAAACCCTCAAAAGTAACCATTGAGAGGAATCCAAAACTCTTAATAATTTTCCTTTAGTTATTTTTGAATTATTATTTTTAAATATTTTGTTTTTATATGGGGCTCCTAGTGGTCTTCCATCTCAGCTGAGGCTGAGGTCCTATTTGCTGCTGACATTCATGCACCTCTCAGACTTGCATTGTGTCTTTCAGAAAGTCTAATCCAATTGAAGAATTGAAGAGAGTCTGTTACATTGGACCAAAGGTCTGATATTCTGTTCACACAGGGGGCAGCTGCCTGCCCATGAGAAGCCTGCAAACAAGATGTGAGCTGAGTCAGAGCACTCTCCTGCTCGGATTCCCCAGCAACTAGCACTGAGAGGCGTACTGGCTTTGCTACTGAAGGAAAACATCTGCTGTCAGGACTAGTAGCCATTGCTACCCTCATCTGCTTGAATTCATCAGTCCAATCAGCTTAGGGCCAGGCAGATTAGTGCCATCACCAGGTCTCGTGGATGGAAAGTCCATCCTTTCATGAGGCACCGTGTGAAGAACTTGGTTAACTTTGTCCCAAATCTCCCACCACTCCTTGGATGGTCCTGGGTTCTAGTAGTACAAGGAAGCAAAGCAGCTCCCTGCCCTCTTTCTCCACAGCATGCACAAGCTGATACACCTGAACCTGAAGCAGGAGAAAGCTTGCTGCACAGTGTGTATGCAGCCTTCCGTCATGTCTGTCATTTCACTGGGTTTGCAGATAGGCTACTGAATAGGGAACTGGCAAAAAGGCAGAGTGCTCAGTCATTTGCCAGGTGCGGAGGCATCACACACTGATGTGGCTTCCCTGTCCAGATGTCCACGTGCTTTTCAGGGATTCCCCTCCTGCACACAGTTCATTCCATTCTGCAGAGTTCTTCGAACCCTCCGGCTGGATTCACACAACACAACATCCCCTACTGAATGTTGAGTATGGATTGAGTAGTTGTTTAACTATGGATTGTCAGTGAACTGTGGCTATGGAACTATGATGAACCCATGAATAAAACCAATGATTTGTTGTGTTATGAACTTGGGTTGTTCGTGGCTCGCAAACCATGTTTTGCTAGTGCAGCTGTGTTCAGACAGCACAACAACTTACAGTTCAACAACCAGTTACACTCAATCTATATTCAGCCTTGAACATGGATTGCCATGCTGTTTGAAAACAGGCCTTGTGTCACATTTTCAGGAGCCCAGAAGCACTGCTATAGGCAGCAGGATTTAGGGAAATCTGCCTTCAGCAGCTCCACTGCAAATGACTAAATCTGGATCTATCAAACCGCGTATGTTTGGCTCAATATGGTGTACAAATGTTGATGCCCAAACTCTTTTAAGTCTCCTTCTGTCACCAAATCATTGCAAAGTAAACTCTACCCAGGGAGCAGCAGATGTAGAAATAAATGGCATTTTATTCCTGTAATCATTATGATCCCCATTTGCCTTGATTTAGGCAAACTTAACATGCCTTAAAAGTGCGTACATTCAGAGTTTTGTTGCTGGTGCTGTTTTAAATCAGGAGTGGCAAAGCATTTTGCTTTAAAGTATCAGTGGAATAGACACAGCTTTACAACATGGAATGACAGGGGAGGGAAGTGCCAGTTGCTTGCTTGACAAAGGAAGTCACAGAGGTGGCCATGGTCAAGGGCCTTCCCGTGAGGCTACCAAGGTCAGGGTCTGTGCCCCGCTGTGTCCCGTGCACTCTGCCGCAACAGGGATTCCC